CTGGATTATATTTGTTACACAAAATTAGACCCTTTTTTTTACCAAAATTTCAAAAAACTTTCTCTGACTAAAATTTTCGTATGGATTCATGACACAAATCTACAAAGGAAAGAAATGTATAATAAGAATGATACCACCTAGAGATAACCACTGTTGGTTTGATATATTTCTGCAGTATTTTGTTTCTTCCTTGCTTTTACAAATATTATACAAAGCTCTTTATATGTCAATAGATTTGAATTCTAAAGTAGTATTCATTGTTGCTGCTTAATCCTATTATGTTACTACGTAACTTCAATTGGCTCTTGTGTATGTGAGTAAATACATAGTGGCTATTCACTTAAAGGCAATATATCCAATAGTTTTAGAGGTATAGGAGAAGCAGTCTGCCAAACCATATGCATAGGTCTAACCAAATGCTACATTACAATTTGAGGGAGTTTTAAAATAGCAAGTTCTCAGGTGTTTTTTTCCTCATAAATGCAGCAAGCTCTTTCTAGAAGAATATCTCAGGAGCTTAGAAATAATTTGTTATGCTCAACTAATAAATATTTCACACTCAGGATCCTTTGTCAACTATCTATAAGTGATTGTGGCATGACCATGGATTTGGAAATTAGTCTGGTATTGAGATTCTGATTGCTGATTAAACCATGCGTGCCTTTGGATAATAACAATAACCTATATATCAATTACTTACTATGGAGGAGTTGAGCTAACCTGGGCACACATTGTCTTATTTAACTTATATCATCATTCTTACTATATATTTGGTACATATGGGACTCAGAGAAGGTCACAAAGGTATTCCTTAGGGTCACAGAGGTTCCTTAATCTCTAATCTTAAGATTTTAAGGAATCTTAAAGGAGGTAGCGAAAAAACATTACAAATAAGAAAGAAACAACTCTTTAGAGAGAATTAGTATAAAGGCTCAAACTGTTTTCCCACAGATTGCATTTGCACATGATTCAACTCGTGTGATCCAGTGTTACATTCAGTATGGTAATGAAGAACAGAGAAAACAGGCTTTTGAAGAACTGCGAGGTATTTATTATATAATAAAGATTGTTTTCAGCTGTATTAAGCTACTTGTTTTCTCTTGGAATATCCAAGACTGTTCTAGGAGATGTCTTCAACTATTTTTGTCTGTATTTGTTCTTGCTTGGGACAAAAGGAGTTACTTGTGTTCACAGACTTGTGCATTTATATGGTGGATCTTTCCTTTGTTTCTGAAGACGTGAAATAAGGTTGTCAAGTAATTGTAATGTGTTTTTTATTTTTCCTCCAGATTATTTTGTAGAATTAAGTAAAGCCAAATACTCCAGAAATATAGTTAAGAAATTTCTAATGTATGGGTAAGTTGTTATTTTTAAAATGCATTTTTTGTTTGTTTGTTTTTTGATTCTGTGGATTACAGTTGTGCTTATATTACTTGAAAAGACTGGTCAAGATGGGGTGGAGCTCTGTGGTAGAGTGCTTGCGTAGCATGCTCAAAACCTTGTGTTCAGTTCCTAGTACTGCCAAAAAAAAGAAAAAAAAGTGCAGTCATAGTGATGGTGTTTCTGGGGCATGTCACCTTAAAAATAATATTGGAAGTATGTTACTTCCTTTACCATTGTTGAGAGACTATTTTTATATCTTGAAGTTCTGGGAAAAAAGACAAAGATTAATTCACTTATAATTAGTTACCAGTATTTAAAGGCTAGAGAGTTGAGAATGCAGAGGAGAGGACTCTGAGGTAGGGTTGTCGGGTTAGGAAATGTCAAGATGGAAGAATTCTAAATTAGGTAAGATTGGTATTTGTCTTGACCTATCTTTTTGAGTGTAATAGTATGCCAGAATATGACATTAGCAACAAAAACTGTGATAAGCAGTTGATAAATTTTTTAAAGTTATTCCTATTAGCAGCTGATTGATTATTTTAGGGTAAATCATGTTTTAAAAGAGAATCATACAATATCTTATTCTTACTTTGTTGCATCTTAAGCTTTTATGTTTTTTCTTACACCCTTCCTTTTTTCACGCTGAACAGTGTGCTAGGATTGACAAGGTACTTTCTGTTTGCTGGTCACAGTTCTTGATGCATCTTAGCTCATACAATCCTCACAGCAACTTTATGTCTATTTTATGAATGTAGAAACTGCAGCACAGAGTGGCTAAAGAACCTGCTCAGCATCTTTCATTTGGTCAGCAGAGCTTGGTTTTTCACCTAGGAATGCTGTCTATGGAGTCAGTTAAAGCTCAAAGTGGAAATCCAGGCATTTTTATTTTCCTGCTTAAAAGTTTTTCTTTGTAGGAGATATGCCCCGCCCTCTCCCCCCCACACACATGTATTGATGATGAGTTAGTTTCAAGAGAAGTAAATTAGGATTTATTGTCACCCAGCTTTCTCCTTTTATTATTTATTTTTTCCATAATCCTGTTGAGTTTAGAAATAAGCCACAGATTGCAGAAATAATCAGAAGTTTTAAAGGCCACGTGAGGAAGATGCTACGGCATGCAGAGGCATCATCCATTGTGGAATACGCATACAATGACAAAGCCATTTTGGAGCAGAGGAACATGCTGACAGAGGAGCTCTATGGGAACACATTTCAGCTTTACAAGGTGACAGTACCAGTTTTTTCTAGTGTATTTATTGTTTCTGTGTGTTTTTCCTTAACTTATAATGCCTTATTTCAGAATGTATTTTACCATGGCTGGCCCTTCAAGAGATAATTTTGTCTCTGCAATAATAAGCAAGTGGTCATAATTACAATTCTCCTTTTTCCTGAGTTTTATGTTTAAATCACCCGCAAATCAAACCACTTTTGTTAGTTCTGCCCAAGTACTCTGTGTGTGTTATGTCTTGGCACTTCTATTTCCATACTCAGATTGAAGTCTAAGGCTAAATAGTTTCTGTAGCTTATAACCATCCCTACCCAGCTCTGTTGGTACCTTCTCCCATGTTTCTTATGTTTTTGCATTACTTTTCTCCACATTGTATCTAGAGTGGAAGAGGAGTAGAGAGACCTGACTTTGAAGTATAGAATTGAATCTCAGATGTCAGTAATGGGACTAGGACAGTTAAGGACCTGTTTTAATCCTTGAGACATTAATATGTACATATATTTGAAGGAATGTGGATTGACTACTGGGATGCGTCCATTAGATTGAGTTCCTGAATTGTACTTGTTGCTGTTGTTATTTCTTTTGTAACATTTAAATTTAGGAATATCCAACTAATGATGAAACATATGGAGGCAAGGATTTATGAACTGACTACTTGATCTGATGATTAGGTACCTGCAAGGTGCTTGATAAGTACTCGAGTGGTTGACTTGGTTGGTTGATGCTGATTGTTTCACCTGGCTCTTTAGAAACAGCCAGCCCTCCATGTCTGTGCTGCTACTAAGGAGTCAGCTAACCACAAATCAAAAATACTTGAAAAATATTATGTCCATACTGGACCTATATAAATTTTTTTCCCTTGCTAATATTCCCTAAACAACACATTATAAAAACCATTTGTGTAGCATTTACACTTTATTACATATTATTAGTAATTTAGAGATGATTTAAAGTTTATGGAAGAGTACATCTGGGTTATATACAAATTTTTTGCCAGTTTATATACGAGACAAGCGCATCCTCAGATTTTTGTATCTACAGGGGTTCCTGGAACCAGTCTTTCCCAGATAGTGAGTGTTGTCTATATTGGCGGAAATACAGACTGAGAATCAGATAACTAGGAAATACTCCATGAGTGCATATACAGTGGAGGTTTTGTTATGTAAATATGAGACATCTTTAGTTAAAGCTTATTTAAAGTGGCCGCAATTGTTCTTTGTTCTCAAGTGAAGAAAATGATTGAATTTAGAGGAGTTTGATTTTTCTTTTTTGCAGTCAGCAGATCACCCAACACTGGACAGAGTGTTAGAGGTACAGCCAGGAAAATTAGAACTTATTATGGATGAAATGAAACAGATTCTAACTCCAATGGCCCAAAAGTAAGAAAGATGTTTTTGTTCCTTCTTCAAAAATTTGAAAGAGGCATTTGAAGAAAGTTTTATGTAATCCTTGCACCAAAAAGGTAGATACTTTATCCTTACTGTTATTAAACTATCCTAGACAGGGCATAAAAATTTTGGTTTGAAACCATTCTTGGTACAAAAGCAGATTGCTTTTCTGATCTTGTATCCTATGGGATAATGTACAATAGTAGTTTGTAAACTTTCTTAAAGCAATGAAACATTTCTTTCCTGAAGCCAGGCATGGTGACAGACCACGCCTTTAATTTCAGCACTTTGGAGACTGAGGCAGGAGGATGGTGAGTTTGAAGCCAGCCTGGCCCACATATTTTTCCCCAAATATTAAATAATTTTACAAAATATAATCAGTTATTTAAATTGAATTATAAGACACAGAAACCTGTGCATGCGGTACCCAGTTGGCACTGGTACCACAGCAAAGTAGGTCTGGGACTGGACTGTCTAGGTGTGACTCCTGATGCATTGTCCCCCATCTTTGCCCCAGTACTGAATGTGTAAGCTTGCACAGTTTAACCTCTCTGTGCCTCGGTTTCCATGTGCATAAAATTGGGATAGTAGCAATAGTGGTAGTGATAGTATAACAAGTACTTCATAGAGTTCTATGAAGAAGAAATGGGTTAATATTTCCAAAGAACTCAGAACTGTTCTTTGTCCATAAAGGTAACATTAGTTTCTACTGTCTAGATGCATGTGCCATGTTAACTTTAGGTCTTCAGTGCCAGAACATTAGCCTCTATTGTACAATATACTGAATTCACCAAGAGTCGTACTAGAGGTTGTAGATTAAATAGAGGTTGCTATTGTTTCCACTGTTGGTCTAGTCTAGTTTTAATTCTGCTACAATTATTTTATGAACCATATATTTTGAAGAGTGCGTGACAGAAAGAAAATAGCTATTAAAAATAGGTCTACGTGTGGATTTCTAATCATGTGTCCAGTGCTAGGGGGAAAAATATAGATGTCCTTATTAAAGAATGTAGAGCATATTGTGAATGAGATGTAATCTTTTCTGGTTAGATACTAGAAATTTGTACTCTTTGTCATGGATGGCAATAAATCAATTTTACAGTCTAAATGTTTTAAAAAAAATCTTAGTATTGCTGAATGAAGTAATTGATCTTATGACAAATTATATTTAGTAAAAACCATTTCACTTGTTTAGATCATTTTAGGACAACCATAGTTACCTAGTTTTGTGTGACTGTTTTGCCAAATCTGTTTTTCCCCCCCTTTTTTTTTTTTTTTCAGGGAAGCTGTGATTAAGCACTCATTGGTCCATAAAGTATTCTTAGACTTTTTCACATATGCACCCCCAAAACTCAGATCTGTAAGTTCGTGGTTTTTGTTTTTAACCAAAGCATAAAGGAAGAGCTGTGTAGAAATTTGAAGTGCTGCTTTAATGTACATAGTCTTTTAGAAACTTTGGAGTTGCTTCCTTATTTAGAATAAATAATGCACTAAACTTATGTTGAACAGGTCTGCTAAGTCCCTTTCAGTTTATTCCCAGAAAACAGTAGAATTGACTGTAGATTCATTAATGCCATTGAATTTTTACATTTTAGTCATAATCCAGAGAGTATATCCTCTAGCTAACTGAATCTAAAAATTAGCTAACATTGGAAGAATATTCAGCATTCATGTAGTTTTAAATTCAAGTGGGCCAATATTAAAAAAAAAATACCTGCCTTAAAAGGTTACGAGAAGATACTTAATATAAAACTAAATGGCCCATGAAAACCTGGACCTTCTAGAAGGAGAAGAAACAGAGTGAAGGTAAATTGCATTGCCCTTCAGATCAGTGATGGGAATACAAATGAGAATTTGTAGTTTAGTTCCCTGATCTCTGCTTGCCTCATCATACAGTGAACTCATTGTCCATTTGTCCTCATTTTCTGATTACAAGGGCTAACTGAAATAATGAGTCTGACTTCTTTTAACAAATATTCCAGATTATACACTCATAGTAATTTTGACATTCTCAAAATTCACCATGCAAAATTAATCTCTCAGCTGCAATCACCATATCATCTTATGGTCCAGTGACCATAGCAACATCTCTTCTCTTGGGGATTTCTCTCTTTTTCCTGAACAAAATAGTACCTTGCAGTTCTGGATTTCATAGGGCAGAGCTATATGTTTCAACTGATGAAATGATCATTTGGATATGTTCAGTGGTAGAAAGTATTTATTCTTTTAGTGCTGTATCTGTTTTGGTAACAGCATATAACAGCGTTTAGTAACAGCATTTGGATCTGAATATAAAGTAATGAAACCAATTGTCTTTTCCTGGCACTGGGAGACATTTCCAAAAGAGACTTAAAAAAACTGAGGCTATTAGACACATAATTGGAATAAAAGTATAACTCTCCAGCTGGATAGTTTTGAAGAGATTTATAACTTTAGGTATGCTACCTGAAATCTGTTCTTGAGACATTCATTCTGAAAAGGATTGTAAAATACTTAATGGTGAAATTGCTTGTTCCTTATTGATGAAATTAGTCAGCTGCCTTTCTAGGCTTAGTATAAATTTTTGGGAGCAGACTAAAATGGTACTCCATTCTGTAGCTCTTGGCTGCCTATACTCATTTACTTCTTGTGTGCTTAGACTTTGAAAATAAGAAGTTAATAAATTGAAAATAAAAGCTACAGGTTAAGTTAAACTACCTTATGAGAAATTAAGTGGTTTTGTGGTTTTTTTTTTTTTTAATAACAGGATCATTTATAGGTGAAGGTATGAGTTTTGATTCTGAAAGAGCATCTTATTTACTTTTCTAGCTGTTTTGTTAAAAACTTCCTTAAAAAACAAAAACAACAGACTCTTCTTAGCTCTGCTACCGTCTAGACTTCGTTTTCTTAGAAAGCCTGTTAAAATATATTACACATATAGTCTGTGACTTTTTATATTAAATAGACATTAATAAAAATCAGAAATGTTTAATAGAAATTGTTTGCCAGTAGTATTTGCTGCTTTTGATGGAAAAGGATGTTTCTCAGGTTGTGTTTCTGTTTGATTGTCTACAGAATTAAAAATTAAATGGTTAAATTGTTTTCTACTTGTGCTCTCTTCCTTTCATTCTTTGTGCCTGACTGCTCTCCTGTATATAGATCAAACAGCATAAAGAAAGAAAAAGGATGCTCTGACACCTTTTGTTCCCTAGGAGCTGATTGAAGCTATCCGGGAAGCAGTGATATACCTGGCACACACACACGATGGCGCCAGAGTGGCCATGCACTGCCTTTGGCATGGCACGCCCAAGGTAAGTGTGGCAGCACTTAGATCTAAACACTGTAATTCAGGGCCATGTCTTATTTACAGGTTGGATTTGCCAGTCCTTAGATTTTTCAGTCCTCGTTGGTCTTTCCCCAGTTATGTATAAACAGCATTATCTTCTCAAAGTTGTATCTCGGGGACTTATAGGAATTTGCTTTCTTCTTTGGCCTCATATCCTCTGCTTTAGTAGAAGTCTAAAGGCTTCATTGAAGGATGAAAAGGGATAGTCAAGCAAATAAACACAGTACTTATGTTAAGCTTTGATTTATGTATAGCTTTGTTGGTACTTGTTAGGCTCTTTCAGTCCTCATTTAATGATCATATTGAGAGGACAAAGGAAGGAAAAGATAATGAACAGTTAGCCACACGTGTCCATGTGTTAAATATTTTGGGGAAAAAAGGTAAAGATCCATATTAATCACAGAAATTTGACAAATCATTTCCTTGATCAATATTAGTAGATAGTTGAATTATCTCTACCTTTTCATTATTGCAAATCTAATTTTATTCAACTAGTACATATTGAATACTATCTGTATGTTAGCCTCTTGTGCATTTGAAGACATTTTCAGATACTGGAAGAGGGCTCTCAGGACTCAATGTAAAAGCTAGTTTCATTAGATTTGCCTTCAACTTAAAATTTTATGGTTTCAAATTTGTGTCTAAGTGGATTATTTTATACAAGTCTAAGACAGATCCTAATAGCTCTGAAAGGACTTAAAGTATATTGTAGTGTTTTCATTCTGGCTGCATAACTGTTTTCACTTATGAAAAGTATGGCATTCATTTAAATTAAATATTACATGAAAATTTTACCTATGAAATAGGCTTAATCTATAAAATTTGATTGAGGCAATTTTTCCTTTTTAAGGATAGAAAAGTGATTGTGAAAACCATGAAGACTTATGTGGAAAAGGTGGCTAATGTAAGTACAGTAGTAGTCCTATTTCTTTTAATTATTTTTAATAACAAAATGAATTCATGTCTTAAAATTTGAAAAATTCAGAAAATTGGCTAGACAGTAGTTTTAATTTATTAAGTCTTTCTATGCACATACCTATATTTGCAAATAAAATTTATACAAAATGGAGTTTACACCCATGTATTTTTCTTCTTAGCTGGCACTTTCTCTCTGTGTCTGTCTATGTGTGTTTGCATGTTGCTAGGTTTCAGACTTGAGACATCACACATATTAGACATGCACCAAACTATATCCCCCGTTTTTTTTTTATTTAATACTGTATTGTGACAGTTCTCCATTTTTACTAGATATTTTTTGAGGTTTTGATATTTACTAGCTTCTTTAATTAATTTCTCCAATTATATTAATTAAATATGGTAATTGCTGAATAATGCCAAATTGCAGTTCAGAAAATCAATACAAGTTTTTTATTACCACCAAACCATAACAAATTAAAATTTATTTTTTTGTTTTTTATAATAAATTTGGTGTGTGGTCATGGAAAATTTGAGTTGTTAATTATTTTAGCTCCTTGGAATCCTTTGGAGATGCAGTAACAGATTTCTAATAAAATTAGTAGGTACAAAGTTACTTTTCTGGGGAATTGCCTCAGAAATGGTGTTTGTATATATTTAGATATTAATTTCCTGTAGTATTACTGTGGAATATGTTTTCTATAACTAGGATTCATGTGGTAGTATATACTGTTTTAATTTTTAAGTTATATATTTGGTTACTTAGTTTATCAGTACATTTCTAATTTACTGGAGAATGAAAATTATTTCATGAGCAACAGCTTTTTCCTATGAAAAATTCAGTGGAAACTACTAACATCTATGGCGAATGCCAATTCAGACAAAGACAAAATAGATGCCCTGTGATTGTGTACTTATCCGTTGCCTTCTGTGGAGTTAGGGGACAAGGAGAGTTAGTATAAAACCATTGAACTGGCAGCTGACTTTAGTGGGACAAAGTGAATTGTGGTATTCTCTACCGGAACTGCTTCTGAAATAGGATAGTTTATGATTCATAATTTATCATGAGTAAATCCTCACATATGACATTTTAGATTGAATACTTAGAATGAGTAAAAATAGAATGTTAATAGAAAGTTCTAAACTATGAATAGACATTTTTAAGTAATAAAGTTAACATTGTTTTAATTTTAGAGTTTGGTTATGTCAGGTCAACAATAAACTTTGGAGAATTTAACACCAATATATCATTGTGCTGGCAACAAATTAATAATCCAGTGTTTTTTAATCTCTAAGAATTATTCTCCTCCTTGATTTGAGCCATCAGTTTAGAAGTGTTTAATTTCCAAATATTGGGAGTTTCTGTATATTCTCTATTGTTTCAGTCCTTTTAAACTTATTGGGATTTTTCTTATGGCCTAACATATGATCTGTTTTAGTATTTTGGAAAGAATTTATCGTGAAGTTTATGATATTCTGTAAGTGTCAGTTAGATCAGGGTAGTTGGTATTGTTTTTAGAACATTATTGTTTTTGCTGGTTTACTTGTTTTCTAATTCTCTCAGCTGCCTGGAGAAATGTGTTTAAAAAACTCCAGCTATGATTATGGGATGGCCTGTTGCTGACTTGTTCAATTAATGTGGAGAAATCATGCATATTAACTATAGAATTTTAACAGAAGTGATAACCATTTCTTCCTCTGTAAAATTCTACATTCAAAAGATAGTTGTACTATATCTTCCTTTTAAATTCAGTTTTGTATTCATCCAGTGATATTTTACACTTGGTCATGCCTATATTACTATGAATCAGTGGTCTTCATCATTGTCTATAGGATGAGTTGAAAATATATTTCATTGCTTTAATGTTTTTCTTAATTATTTAAAGCTGTTAGTTCATACATTTAAAGCCATTTGTGCTTTTCTGTGAATTGACTCTTTTTATCCTTTCCCTGTTTTGTTATTGATTCTTAGTTTTTATATATCAAATATGTTAGACCTTGGATATGTTTCCTCTACTTTATTTTTTTGATCATACAATTAGTAAGCTCCTGTTTGTTTCTAATTGAAATTTTATTGCCTGTCATATTCATTAGACCAGGTTGTTGTCTTGTATCAAAATCAAACCTTCCTAATAAATAAAAAATACAAAATACATTTATATCAGCTTGGATACTAATAAGAATATTCTCTAAGCTCTGAAAACTTTTTTTTTTTTTGCTTTTTGTTTTTAACATAAAGTAAGAGTTCTTTAAATATTCAGAGCAATGTTAGCATAGTAGAAACAATTGTATTATTTCAAGAAGTGACTATTGTGAAAGCCATAGTGTTTATTTCTATGAGCACTCCTACACTTTTTAAAGTTGTGACATCTTATTTTCATATTCATTATATACTTTTCTAGTTTATTTTTTCAGTCTTTGTATCCTAATTATGTAGGATTGTTTTAAAGAAATTGGATGACATTCAATAAATACAATTGTACAAAATATAAAAAAAATTTGTAGTCCTTTAAGCCATTAATGACTATTACATTACAGTGGTTTGTCTTCTAGAATTTTCTGTGTACATGTATTATGAATATTGTGTGTATGTATAATTACATCTGAGTTTATACATTTCTTTTTTCATGATTTAAATATTTCTCTCTCTACATATATATAGTTATCCCCCTTTCCCTTTATTTAGCATTTGAATTTTCTCAAGTTTAATTTTCATTAACAGGATACCTATTTTAGACATGTATTATATTCTAGTTTGGTCTGTTTGGCAAAGTCAACTTTATCTTTAGAATGTAATTAAGTCCCGATAAAAAAGAAAGTTCACTTGTTCATCTTGTTTACATTATATTAGACAAGTTGTCCGTGTTGGTGACCTTTATACAGTGACTACATGGGCAGGATAAGAGGGAAAATCTGTGCAATATTTTTAATCTTTTCTGGCTTCCAATTCTTACAGGGCCAATACTCTCATTTGGTTTTACTGGCAGCATTTGATTGTATTGATGACACTAAGCTTGTGAAGCAGATAATCATATCAGTAAGTAGTTCTTATGGTCTTGAGTTTAACTTATGACTGGTGCACCAGTTGTGGGTGTATAAGTTTGATTTCACACATGCTATGTAGAAACTTTGATTTGTGTTTTCTACCAATATTTTCTGTTACTTTTTAGTTTTTACTTAAGTATTATTTTGGAGGGTTTTTTCTCTGATCCTGTATGAATCATAATCTTATAACTTGTTACTAATATTTTAAAAAACTGTGCTTTAATTAAGACTCAACTTTTTTATTTTGGATTATGGTAACATGATGTTTTAGACTATGTGAGATACTAAAAAAATGGATGATTAGCAAAACTGTGTTTAGATTTGATAGGAAATTAGTTTACCTAGTAATTCTTCAATTTAATATTCTCTCTCTATGGACAAACTGCCTTTGCACAATTACCCAGTTTATCAATGCATCTGCTGGCTTGAGCTAGTGGAGAAAATCTCCTAAAATTCACTCAGTTGTGGTACTTACTAGAGCCACAATGAAAGTTTTTGTAGAGCCAGATTAAAAGTTATTACTAAAATTAAAATTTCTGACTTCCTTTTGCCTTTCAGCAGTTCTGATGTAATGGCCTGGTATAATGACCATAAGGTGGTGAACGATACACACAAGAGGTTTATCCCTAAACTTGCCTTTCAGAAAAAGTACTCCAAAGGAAAGATTGTATTCTGAGCCATTTGTCTTTCCTTATCCTGTAGTGACTGTTCCTTTTTTCTGACTTCTGGTTCTGTGATCCTCTCTTCTTTTTCCTTCTGTTACTTTTAGTATACAAGTGGTATTGAGACTATGGCAGAGACTGTAAGGATGGGGATAAGAAATTGCAGTATTGGTAGCAGCAACCAGAATTGGAAATGCCTTAAAAACCACATAATATGTATAAACATAGGTGTTAACTTATCTGACAATTGATACGATAAAATAAATGAGGCCTTTGGAGAAATCTTACTGACAAATGGTACTATGGATGACTCAGAGAATTTGCCTGTTGTCAGGTGTTGGGGCTGTGGCCTTTCTCTGTAGCATTCTAGACTAGTAGAGTTGATTTTAATAGACAATGTATCAGCTAGTGGAAGGGAGGGAGATTTGTTTTCCTAGATGCTAGCTGTAGGTCCGGGTGTGTGAATTTCTCATGCCCTTGCTGTCACTTTCCAACTTTGTTCTTAACTATTTTAAGATTGTGATGATTTTCTTTGGGATAGAATTGTGGGAAGAAACAAATTGGCAAGACTTTCATGTCACAGACTGAGCATTTTGACGTGTTCCATGTGACTTTATTACCCTTTTGACTCCAATCAGTAGCGATTATTTTTTCATTCCTGTGACAGAGATGTGAAGCCATAGAATTGGCTAATGAATACAGTTGTTTCACAAAAGTGGAAACAGGCTGGGCTATTGACAGTTTGCTTTTGTTTAATACTTTCACAACTAAAATTTGCATAACTGTTTCAAATGGATTTCAAGAGAAACCAAACTTCCTTCAGGATTTGCCAAAATTATGCTAGATTAATTTTTTTCCCAAAGATTTATGCCAATTAAAGTTGCTGTCAAAACAATTTTAATTCCTTGTGCTTATCAGTTTGAGTCCCACAACTATTTAACCAACATTCCTAAAGACTGTGACTTATGGCAGCTCTCCCTGAATGGCCTGATCTGCCTCTAACTGACAAATGCTCAACAAGTTCTGTGTTTCATTTAACTATGTAGTTAGTGATAAAACTCTGGAATGCTAATTGCTCTTGCATATTTCTCACCCATCCACCACAAAACGTGTTGCACTGTGCACTGCTTTTTAAAAATAACCAAGAAGCTTAGTGTTGCTAAGCATTCTATTCAGGGTACCCAGACTTCCCTCAAGTCAAAATCACAGCAGGTCAGCTGAGCCTTTCATCTTCCAAATGGATACAAACTGATTCTCACCTACTTTGCTTTCCAAAATAAACACACTTACAAAATTTAATCCAGTTTACCCTGAAGTCATTGGTATAATGCAGCTGGTTTGACAGCAGTATTACTTGGAAAGGAAATTGGTATACTAGCCAGTTGCCATTTGAGGATGAATAAATATTGGTGCATATTTTTAAATGTCTTATCTTGAAAAATATTCTTAAAGAAGTATATACAGTAAGTACTCAGCTTCCTACCACCTGACAGATGCAGTTCAGCATTAGGCTTTTGGTGCACCTGCCCCTCATCCCGTGTCCCACCTTCTACCCTACCTACCATGATAAATTGACATTTATTATTCATACCAGTTCCTTATCCATATGTACAGTGTGATATTACTTTGCATGTTTACCCAGTCTATATAAGAGACATCCTGTATATGTTCTTCTGCAACATGTTTTTGTATTTGGCTTTATGTTGTAAGGCTCATCATCAGGGATCAGCAAGTCTTTTTTGTAAAGAGCCAGATAGTAAATATTTTCGGCTCTGTGGGTTATGTATGGCCTCTGTCTCATATTTTTGTTTGTTTATACTTTTTAACAATCCTATGAAATGTGAAAACTATGCTTAGCTGAAAGGATTTACAAAATAAAGGCTGCAAGCTGGATTTGATCCATGGATCATAATTTGTCCAGCATTGTCCTAAGTCATTTATTTTTTAAGACTGAGTAGTATTCTACTACATAAATATACTGTGATTTATTTATTTATTTTTGTTTTCCTGGTGATAGATGTTTAGGTTTTTTGTTGTTGATTTTTTCACACATAGTCTTACTACATAGCCCAGGCTTGCCGGCCTGGAACTCTGTGTAACATAGGTTATATATGATCCCAAGTGGAGGGATCAAAGGTGTGCATCACCAAGCCCACACAACTTTTTAGAACATTTACCTAGCATACCCAAAGCCCTGAGTCAGTCCCCAGAACTACTAAAATAAGAAAGGAAGAAGGGAGGGAGGGAGGGAGGGAGGGAAGGAAGGAGAAAGAAAAGAAAAGAAAATCCACCCTATAAAAACTATTCTTAATTCATAATAATTTGTGCTATTATTTTCTGTTTGGTCATTACAAAACCTGTTGCCTTATGCAGCGTTTTGAAAAATAGCTAAGGTAAGAAAGCTTAGTATCGCTGAGCATTCTCTTCAGAGTCAGATTGGAATCAGCCTATAACCACTCTTCTTGTTTTTACTAAGACTAATTCCCAGATAATGTTCTCTGATCTCCCAGTCATATCTCCTTGTCTTTATTTTTGCCATCCATTCATTTAATAGTTAATCATGATGCAGGGCTCACAAAATCAGAAATGTTTATTGACCAGACTGGTAAATGAATGAGGCCAGCCAGGTATGAGACAAGGTGAATAGAATGGACAGAGCACATGCCCTATCCAAGGTGACTCACCTGTTGCCTATGGTCCAGTGTGAATTTTGCAGTGAGATAAACTTTCCTTTTGTTTAATTTTTTTTTTTTTCACATCGTTGTGCAACCATTCTCCAGGACATTTTTTTATCTTGTAAAACTATCCCTATTAAATTAAACTTGACAAGACTTTTTTTAGTGCAGCCAAAAAAGGTTTACTTTGGAATAAAATCCTGGTGTTTTTTTCTTTTTGTGGGTGGGTAGGGAAGAGGATAGTGGGGATTGGATGTAGGGCCTTCTGTTTGTTAGGCAGATGCTCTGCCACTTAAGCCAACCCCCACCACACACACACACATACCCCTAGTCCTTTTAGTTAGTTTTTCAGATAGGGTCTTGGTTCTAAGGTTTGCCTGGCCTGACACGGAGCTTCAATCCACCTCTGCCTTTCAAGTAGCTGGGATTACAAGCATCTGGCCCCATACCCAGCCCTAACATCCCATATTTTAAAACAAAACACTCAGGAGACTGCCTGGTGATTAACTTTCAATACTTCTGTTGGTATCCATTATTGAAACTGCTTATGTTTATTTTTAACTTTCCATTAACTCTCTTGCCTATTCTGCTAGATTTTAGCTCCTTATGGCAAAAATAGTTTGCATTTGTTTTTATTCCCACACATAAACCATAATAGAAGTGTGTACAACACAGGTTTGATGCTCAGTAACTTGGGTTGCTTTTATTTCTATGCTCTATGGAAAATGTGTGTTTGCGCTAATGTCATTTCCTGTGTGCATCTTTGATTTTGACCTTTTACCTGTCTTCTTTAAAGAAGGTTGACAAAATGAGAGCCAAGGAATCTGGCAAGAGCTCAACACCAGGAGGTTAGAGCTTGCCAAAGATAACTTGAGGAGAGAGGTGTTTTAAACAAAGCCAGACTTAAAAATGGACTCTCATTGTTGGTATTCTCTCTTCCAAGGGTGAAAACTCACCACTCCAGCTTTATTTAGTCTCAGTAGTTAAGGTTGCTATAGATTGAGAGGTGTATTTTAAATATGAAAATGATGAATGACTTCATAGCAGTTTGCAGTTTACACTATGAATTTTCTGTTTTGTTTATGGCGATAGCCCATATGTCAGGCAGACATACCATTTTCTTTTACAGACGAGAGAATTGATGCGTAGGGAGGTTAAAGGATTTTCAAAGGCTATACAGCTTGCCTTTTAGACTCCAGGGACCAAATTCAGTATAAAACCAGCTATGCTGTAAATGTTTCCTACTTAGTCATATATCTTCAAGGAATTATTAGTACTCTGAATGTGAAAATCTAGAAACTTTTCTCCCATTTCTCTGTGATCAAGATTAAAGAGAATATAGCAACATGGGTTTGTTTGTGTTTTTTAAAAATATTTTTTAAACATGTGTTTTTAGAGGCAGGAGAAGGCTGGAATGAAATTGAGATGGGGAGAATTAAATAATACATTTTAAGCGTTTGTAAAGTTGTTTATAAACATGCACGTTTTTTAAAATGTTACATGAGTTTAGATATTAACGTCCTTCATTACAAAGCAAAGGTGGTGAAGCTCAAGGCATTTGGCTGGTCCTCAAGCACAGCCACACACAGATTGCATGTGCGTCTCGAAGCCTTGTTTGCTTTGTTCCATTACAGCACAAGGATTGACATTTGCAACACAGTCAGTTCTCTCCATTTATTATCACAGACCAAGCTCAAGGACTTAAAAGTACTTAAAAACCTTCACTCATTACGGCAGCATTTCTTACAACATTATTAGTAGAGACAGCACTTTGTGGGGTAACTGAGTATAATTAATTCACACTTGGATTTAAATGCAGCATGAGCCCTGGTGAAGAACATGCCATTTAGATTTTCTCTGCTGAGGTGTATGCAAGGGAGATAAATAAACTCTGTTAAACAGAACAAGTGGATAAAGGCTTTTTAGAGTCAGGTTGCTCTTATTCGTGGCAAATGAAGGCTGTTTACTACATTTAAAAGCAGGAACAAAGGAGAAATGGAAAACAAATCCAGAAACACTTCATGAGCAGCTACAAATGACCCTGTATGATAGTTTCATCAACAAACCCAGGAACAGAACCTCCCTTTCTAGTGGTTGAAATCTAAGTAACATGTTGCCCTACCACACTAGGTTCCTATGTATATCTGATGTTTTCAAAGACACTGCTTAAAACTTAATTTTTAATAGAGAAAATGCCAAAAAAAAAAAAAAAAAACCAAATCCTGTTTTCTCCCCTTCTAAACTTCATGCCTCTTGTAACAAACTATAAATAATCAGATGCATATGTGCCTGAGCATCTTAAATACTTTAGAACTGGCTGGAGCCACAGAAGAACTCAGTGCAGCTCTCTCTAGGTTTGCAGAGAAGGAGCGGAGACTTGCCAGAGGACAGGACATATGCAGTGGCAGGTTCTGACTAGTCTCTGAGATCTGTTACTTCCAAAGGAAGCATACAACTTCCTCTGAATGATAGGAATTCTCTATGAGATGACACATTCAAGAATGTGTCTTGAGAATCTTTGAGAATGTCTATTTTTTAATGATAAGATTAGTAATTTTAGTGCAAGGAGTCAAGTAAAAATTAAGTAAGTCATCACCTTGGGATCACAATTCAGCGAAATTCAAGGTCCCAAGGATGATGATTCAACTCCAGTACCATGTTTCTTTTCTTAAAATCCAACCCTCCCTTATTTTTTACACAAAAGCCTACATGCTTCTGATAATTAGTACCAGTAGCTAACACTTTGTAAAGTGCTTACTTGGAGCCAGACACTGCTGAAAGCTATATACTATCATGCTAAATGATCTTTACACCACAGTGCTGTTTCCAGGACTCCAATCACCACCTGGTTCTCCTAACTACTTCTGAAGAAATTTAAAGTCAGAGCATAATGATTTCCACATAAAACATAAATGTTTTCAGGAAAGAGTCAGTAGTTCTAACCACTTCAAAACGGACCTATAATTTCAACCACTCGGGAAAATTGAACTTAAAATTTCTGTAATACAAGGGAAGACAGAAAAAGGGAAGGAAAAAAGTGTAGAGAACTCATTTTACGGTATGGGCTGTTGTAACCTCAAAGTGAACAAGCCTAAAAGTGAACTCATTTTATGTGTTTCTGATGAGGTATTTAGTGCCTCAAGTTTAGAGTACCTTCAGGTACCTATTTTAAATCTCAACCAACTCATAAAGAGATCAGATGTTTTCATTTGTTGTTTAATCCATTAATTTGTTAAAAGAAAGGGGTGAGAATGATACATAGGTTGGGCTAATTACCATAGTCTTAAAATAACAATGATTAAAAATGATTCTGGAAGCTAGGCATGGTGGTGCACACCTGTAATGTCAGCATTCATGAGGCTGAGGCAGGAGGATCCTTAGTTTGAGACTGTCTCAAACAACAACACAACAACAACAACACTAGAATGCAATACCTTTAACACTTTTTATGAGAGAAAAAAACAGGAGTTGTAGTGAACTACCATACTGACTAGCATTGTTTGTTTTTGTTACATTTTATTTCTACTTATATTATAAATCCCCAGATAGAGTATTGTTATTTTAAACACTTTCATTTTAAAATGATAGAGATACAAGATAGCACTTCCTACTTACTCATATACCCTTTATCTTTAATATCTTTTTCTAGTACAAGGAGGAAGGAAGACAATACTGAGCTAGCAATGCTTTTTTTTTTTTTTTCATGGATTCTATATATAAAGACTAATCCAGTGGCTTGGGCAGAAAAGGTTTTGTAATGTAAAGGATTTTAGAACTAACTCCACATTTGCCATTAAGTATGCTGGAGTAAATAGTTAAGTTTGTATTCTTCATTGCTAGTCAGATCCTAACCATACTTTAAGAATGTAACTAACAATTCACTTATTTGTTTATAATTTCATAGGAAATTATCAGTTCCTTGCCCAACATAATAAATGATAAATATGGAAGAAAGGTCTTGTTGTATTTACTGAGGCCCAGAGATCCTGCCCATACAGTCCGAGAAATCATTGAAGTTCTGCAAAAAGGAGATGGAAACGCTCACAGGTAAAAGCCAGTAGAATGTCTTGATTCTGCTATTCTTCTGCTCTGATCATTTGTTAATTCTGAGGAATACATGCTCCCAGAGGTCCACTTACACATATACACCTTCTCTCTTGCTCTGTCCTTCCCTCTCTCTCTGTACAACTTTTCAAAAGGTGAATTCCATTTTAAGCCCATAGTTTTCATGGAGTTTTAAGTTCTTGTCTTGAAAAGGAAATAAAAGTATCATGCCAAAAGAGTACCTCTGAGCACCTAGCACATCATAGGCACTCAGGTGTATGGTTTGATTTTGTTTGCTTTATTTTCAAAGCTACTGGTACCATGTATTTGAGTATGTAGAGAGTAGAGTCCATAAAGTATTGTAAATAGGTGCTATTTTTTGGGACACTTATCTTTTAGATTTATTTGGGGTGTGTGCGTGTGTGTGTGTGTGTGTGTGTGTGTGTGTGTGTTGTGTGTTGCATAAGCCAGGCTTCATTTATTGAGTGCTTGTTCTGTGCCAGGTACCATTCAGATCTTGGGGCTGAAAAGATGAAAAACAGAACACATCCTGAAATCACTCATTCTCTACAAGCTCAACACAACTGAAGACAATTACAATAGTGTGACACAGACTCTGATAAGCTCTTAGAGTGGTAATAAGATCACACCATTTCCTTTGCCATTTGCCTTAACTTACTACCTCATTCAACATATTCCGACAGTAAGAAAGATACAGAGATCCGCCGTCGGGAGCTCTTGGAGTCCATTTCTCCAGCTTTGTTAAGCTACCTGCATGAACATGCCCAAGAGGTGGTGTTAGATAAGTCTGCATGTGTGCTAGTGTCCAACATTCTGGGGTCTGTCACTGGAGATGTTCAGCCTGCCATGGATGTCATCGCTAGCTTGGCAGCAGCAGAACTACATCCGGGTGGCAAGGATGGAAAGGTAACCTGCTATTATAAATTGGGCAAGAAAGGCACAGGGGCTGTAAAATCTCCAGTCAGAAAAATCATCAGTAAGAAAGAGTTTTAGCAGTAATTGTGTGAGCTAACTTCATACCAACAGTACATATGAAAATTGTCCCTCAAAATGCCACATTGTTATAATACTTGTTTTTCTCAGAAACATGCAGTCATCCCATGTTGATATAGAGTTAAATAGTCATATTTTGGCACTCTGTTATCCATGATTGGCCTCATACCATCTGTCCAGAATACTCCATATTCTTAATTTCTATTGTGAATTTACTGTGACTGCTTCTTCCTTCAACATGGAACATTGCTTGTTTTTCTATTTCCTTGTGCTCCATCTATAGAAAGCCTTCCTCATATAAGGTCCCCAGAATCCTCCATGAAGTCTTCCCTTCTCTCTCCTCATTAAATATTGTTTATTCTGATTGCTCCTGCTTATATTTATTGAGCCTCATATTATTCTGCATTGCATTTTAAGTTCCTTGATTCATGTACGTGACTTGTGTGGGGCAGTGGCCAGCACTGCCCTCTCAAAGCTTGCTATTTGGAGGACACACTACTTAAATACTTACACAAATAATTATTTAAGTTAAGTTAGTATTGAAATGAAGCTATACAGGGTCACACGTTCTGTGGGATTGTGTAAGACCCAGCCTATCCCCCAGGAAGGCTTAGGCTGAGACCTGAAGAATTAGTATCTTAGTGAAGAATTTTAGAAGGATGACTCTAGTCTGAGAGAATGGTGTGTGCAGCATCCCTAAGGAAGGAAGGAGCAAGGCATGTTTGGGAACAGAAGGCATGGGGTTGGAAATCAGTGAACAAAGGAGGAGGAAGGCAGAGACCAGAAGACACAGGGTCTCTGACCTGTGTTGGCTTGTAAGCTCCCAAAGCTCCTAATCAGCAGATGTTCATGGGAAACCTACTGTTTTTCTGAGGCAGTGGCTTGAGAGTATGAAATAACTTTACTGAAGTTCTGTGTCTTTCATTCATTGAGCAAAGATGCAGTAAATCTGTCCTGAATACTTAAAAAGGTATTCAGAGATAAATACCTGCCCTTAGAGCTTGAGATCCATTGGAGAGACACAAGGTGTTCCAGTGCAAGGCAAGTGTTGTGTTTATATTCAGGATGGGGGGGAAACTGAGTAGTAACATCTGAATTTTAGTGACATCCAAGGACTTTTAATGAGTTTCGTGGGTAGTTCTAATGAATGACACTTTGGCTGCAAATGATAGAATGCCTCGTGGTAGCAGTTAAGTGCTAAATTATAGTAATAAGAAAAGTGGCGATATGCACACTACCAAATTCTGCCTTCCCTGTGCACTCTGTTTCTTGTTCTACCATCTTTGTGTTGTGTTATGGTCACAAGCTAGCTTTTACAATCTCATCCCATGTTCACACATCTGGGTCCCAAGTAGGCAACAAAGAAAAGAGCATTAAGGCGTTTTCTCTTGTGACTGAGAAGAAAGCCTCCAGACAGGCTTTTCTTACTTTGGCTAGAACTGAGTCACATCCACTTCTGGACCAATCTCTGGTAGAAATGACTGGATGGCCAGGACTGCATGAGACTAGTTAGGATGTAACTTCTGAGAGTGGGGAAGGTCCTGTAGCGAAAGCAGGTGGAGGGTGTGGTGTTAGCAGGAAGAAAGCTGGAGAAGGTGGTACCTGTTGAATAAACAGCTGAGAGCCTTTTCCACAGTAGCAATTATAATTGTATTCATCTTTAATCTCTTCTAATCATCTGGGATTTGGAAATGTTTTGGTTCTGAATAAAAATTACACCAAGTATTGAGTACCCAAGGGTGCTTCTGATGCATAGGATTGAGAAAGAGAGGTGGGCTGTGGATTGGAGAGAAGCACTGACTGCCTTTCTAGAGCTGATCATATTAACACATGGGAAAGATGAAGGCAGTGATTAGCATGGTCTCTGTAAGGAAATTGTGCCCATTGTTCCTCAAACTGGATAAGGGGAGACTCTAGGTATTGTGGGAACAATTGGTGTGGCCCTTAGAATGGAGTAAGGCTGAAATGCAGAATGCTTTCTTGGCCTGCTCCCCAGAACTTTATAGTCATTTGTATTTAAGCATCATTCAGCATTAGGTTTTCATGTTTTTACTGTCTCAACTCCATGTTGCCATTAGAAAGTCCTCAATGAGCATAATTTTAGATGAGCATTATGGTGGTGCTATTCAGATTCATCAAGCTGAGACCAGACTTCCTTGCCAGGGGTTGCATTCTCTTACATAACCACATTCATTTCAGCCTGGTCAGTAGCATAGATTGCAGATGTCTCTAGATATGATGGGTGTTCTAGATAAAGACCTCTTAAACCTTGCAGAACCTGCAACTTGGCTGAGTACTTATCTACATGTGTTGGTAAAGATTGAATTATGGGCCAAAGATGGATAAAAACAGCTTTTTGAATTAACATATTCCTGATGTCTTATAGCTTCATGTTGCCGAACATCCTGCAGGACATCTTGTTCTGAAGTGGTTAATAGAGCAAGATAAAAAGATGAAAGAAAATGGGAGAGAAGGTAGAGTGTGCTTCTGGAACTTTTCTTGTGTCTTATGGGGAATTTCTGCAATGCTTGGTATACTTGGACTTTACACTAGTCATTTAAGTTCACATGAAGTTTGTCTAGTGTTTAGAAATGATGTCTGTAAATAAGAAATGACTTACTGGTTGGGAATAATGCTTTTTCCCCTAGGAACTGTGTCCAAGATTCCTTTAAATTTGTTTCTTTCCTTCCCATTCTTACTTTCTCCTCTCTCTTCTGCTACTTCAGATTTTTAAGTGAGCTTGATGAGTACCCTAAAATGCCATTCTGTTCCTTGAGGATGGTGGAGCATTGCCTCCAATTGAAAGGCATGATTTTTATTTGCAGTTTTGAGAAAAGATATATGCAGAAGAAAAGTATCCTCATCAGAGAATCTTGGACAGGTTCCTGTTTGTTTAGCATTGAAATACATGTGACCAAAGAGCAAGCCTGTCCTTGGTACTTTCTGCTTCTTTAAAAATAAGCGTTATAGCTATTCTGCAGAAATTCAGCTGTAAAGAGTAAGACAGCACCTTTTGTCTAACTGCAAAGTTGCATACCAGTCCCATACCAAATCCTGTCTTTAACCATACAAAATTCTTAACTCTTACTAAATCCAAACTCCTTCTGATATTTAAGTCACTAAGGAGATTTCCCCCACAGAGTTGAAACAGTTTGGGCTTTCCATTACTGTAGCTAAAGAAAGTAATATCATAAGTTTCTGTCTTGAGACTGGAGGGGTAACTCAAGTGGTAGGTAAGTGGCTGCTTTGTAAGTGTGAAGACCTGAGTTCAAACCCAGTCCCACCAAAAAAATTAAAAAGATTTTATGTCTTGAGCCAAGTTCTGTGGCTAGTGAGGCCCTTAGTATGGCAGTAAAACTGTCACTTCTCATTCTCCCTTTAAGAACAGGACTTGGAGCTATTTTTCACTGCTAATTTTTAATAAATGATGCCGCTTATACTGTTGAAGAAACAACATAATGAAACATCTTTATCAGTATTGAAAACGTTAATATATAATTGAGTTTATGGCAGGGAAAGTGTTAAAGTCCAAGGAATTTCTAGTGGTTTTTCTTAATGAAAATGTGCTGACAAAGGTGGGACTTGTGACTCATGCCTGTAGTGCCAACACTCGCGAGGCTGAAGCAGGAGGGTCAAGAGTTTGAGGCCAGCCTAAGTTATATAGGAGTCCCTGTCTCATATTTCTCTCTGGGCCTGATGTGTTTGTCATTTTCAAGGAGCACCAAGTGGGTGTGCCTAGCTGTTTTGATTGTTGATGTGTAATAAGCTACCTCAGAATTTAGTAGTTTTCAAAGCGTTTGTTTGATTGGATCTTGGTGGAGCTTGCTTCTGCTCTCATTTGGGGTTGCTAGGTTTGGAATTGGAGTATCCACTGTTATAGCAGGGCACTCACAAGGCAGGCAGGTTGGTATTGCCTGTTTGTTAGGAAACAACAGAATCAGTTCTTCCTAGGCTACTTGGGCTTCCTCACAATATGTTGTTTGGTTCTTTCATGGTTTATCCTCAGAAGTCATCTGATATCACTTTTACCATGTTCTGTCACTCAAAGTGACCAGGCCCACCCCGATTCAAAAGGAGAAGATACAGATTCTGTGTCTGTATGAGGGAGTACCATATTCTAGAAGTGCACACAAAACACCTTAAGAAAACAAGGTGCCTCACTAGCTGATCTCTGTCCCTCTTTAAGCAGGTACAATGGAAGACTAGATAGATAAAGGCCTAATGGCTTTTAAAGTGTCCTTATACTTGGGAATCTTTGAATGGATTTTGCATGCTATGTAAGCAAGATGTTTGCCTTCAAGACAGGTTAACCCTTCTTCCATCTATACTAAATCCCTGCCACTTGAATTTCTACTTTGTCCAAGAATGTTTGTACTTAGATGGCACAGTTAAGATTATACCAAGAACTTGGGAATAGAAGTAGTAGAGTGAAGATGAATGGTATTTTTGATGTATGAATATCTAAGCATTGCAGAGAGAAATTGCTAGGTGGAATCTAGACTAGTCATTTTTGAGCCATTAACTGTTTTTGTGCAGCTTCTAGGTGACCATTCTTCCATGAGGGAAGACATGATTTCAGCCAAACACAAGGTGCTGCTGTCAAACATTTACTTCCTGAATAGCTTTCAGGTCAGGGTTAAGTCATTAAATACTACAAAGAAATGCAAACATGACCAAGTGAGCCTTTTTAAGGATTCCTTGGCTTTTTTTAAGAGGTAAAGTCTAAACATAGCTTAGAATTTGGATCAGAGTTTAAAAGAAATGGCTATATTATGCATTATATAAACCTACATTGTATTTTTAGTGTTAAATGAGATTGGGTAAGAAATCTTTTTACTAGCTTTTTTATTAACGCATAAGCTTAAGGGTGATAGAGGACTAGGAGTTTGTATATGATGTTCACTTAAATTTCTGTAAATTTTGCAGGTTGTTTTGCAAAAACACTTGTAAAACATGTTGGTATGAAGAACTTGAAGTCCTGGGTTAGTGTAAATCGAGGTGCAATTATTCTTTCCAGGTATGTATAATTTGTGTTTTTCAGTTCTACTATTTGTACACAATAGTCTGTTATTATTCTTGTTGCTCGTGGTCTAGACATGTACCAAATAGTAGAAGGCAAAAGTAGCTCTTTCAGTCACCTTAGGATTCCTTGGATGTCAAAGACACAGAATTATGACATTCACAGGGTATCATATGGTTTCAACACACGTAGGATGAAAAGCATATTTTTTTTTCTTAGTAAATAAGTTGTGTCCCTATGAAAACTGTTACAAAGTTGTTTACTAACTTTACATATAATTTTCTCTCCTTGTTTTTAGTGGTTCTAAAAGAATTGGAAAAGGATTTGTTACTAAAATCTGTATGTTCATTGTTTATTTCTAACTTAAAATGAGAGAAAACTGACCCCTCTTACATATTGTTCTCTGGACTTAGTTGAGTTTATAATTTACAGGTCACTGAAATTTCCATGCATTTTATGCCCAGATGAAACTCTTTGGTTAAAAAACATTAATTTTGTAAGATGTGTTTGTTGCATTGGACAATCAGTCACTTGCTTTTCTTTCCTGCTGTGTTACCAGGGTTTCAAAAAACAAATACTAATCCTAGTTTGATTTTCTGACCATACTTTCACCTTGCTATGAGATTTAACTTTGTTGTTTGCAAATGTTAGGTTAAACGTTTCTTCAGTATGTAATTTGATCTAGTACATATATACTCATACACACACAGACACACACATGAGCATTAGTATCTTCCAGTAGATCAGTCGGTTTCCAAATACATGAGTGTTACATACATCATTTTGTTCATTTCTCATTAAAATTTGTTAATTTTCCAGTTGATGTTGAATAGTCAGAATCTATTAATAGAAACATGAAAATTTTTTTTGTCAGGAATTTCTTTATCAGGCTTTTAGAATGTTCACACCTACTGACACAGTCCTTCATTAATTGTACTCAATTAAATAGAAATTTCAGTGATGCCATGAGATTAATTTATAAAGGATGCTCATCAATCTGAGTTCCCTTGGGTAGATTTCAAACGTAAAAATAATACTGTAGGTTTATTATGTAGCACTGTGTGTAACTGATACAGAAACAAAATATTTATTTGAGGTTCTAAATGGAAGTTAAACTATATATAACTTCACAATTCAGTAATTGTTTTTGTTTAGTTTTTTAATATTTTAATATAGTTTGCTCATTTGGTAAGAGTCCCTGCTTGTTTATGTTTTACTTAAAACTCATATTTTCCTTTTGAAATTTCTTGATATTGATGCATTTGTTACTGTTTTTACTCAAGCTTTCTACAGTAACTGAAAAGCATTTGGGGTGAAAAAAAAATCAGCATTTTATACTGGCTAAAAATTAACTCAGGAAAGCAGAATTCCCTAGAATTCTGACTCTAGACAGATTGCCTGAGTTCCATGATTAGCTTACTGTGTGGCCTTGGGAAAATTATTAAACTCTTGCCTTTTCATGGTTGTAGAACAAGGTTAATAAGAATCCTAAAGTTGTCATAAAAAGTAAGTGTATAAAATGCCTCTCAGTATGTCTAATATGTGGCATATGCTCACTAGATGTTAACTTAAATTAGCGTTATGTAACTGTGTTTAGCCAAGGTGTATAAAATAAAAACACCAAGTGAGTCACAGACCCATTAAAAGGGCACTTTACTTTTCACCTTTTTTCAACTTTACAGGTGGCAAGTTGTAGAGTTGTTTGTCTCCCACAAGCAGCAGAACTCTGCTTAGTGCTGATAACTTATCCTTCTCTTTATTGACAAGATGGAAGTTACCAGGATGGGGGACTTTGGAAAGGGCCAAGTGATTTCCTTCTAGAATATGTTTCAGAGGTCAGCATTTACACAAATTCAGGCCTGATATTCTGTGGTCAGGTGCCTATGAACTAGCCCCTTTTAAAGAGGGTTGGGCCTGCTGTTACTACCCTCTAGGGCTTCACTCACTGTGGTGGTAGACTATTTGGATAAGGTTTCAGAAAGCAAAGACTGGGATTATTTTGTTTAATGGCTAACATTTATTTAGTATTTACTAAATGTCAGCCTCTGACTTTAGATACAGGATCATTTAAGCCTCAAAAAACAATTCTGTAGGAGCTGAGGGTGTAGCTCAGTGGTAGAGCAAGTGAGTGCTTAGCCTTCTCAAAGCCTTGGGTTCAGTTCCTAGTCCTAAAAACATCCCTTTGAGGGAAAAGGCAGTTCTGTTGTTAATCCATTGTACAGTTACTGGATGACAGAAGCAGGTTTCATACCCAAGCAGTGAAGTTCGGGGTCAAGCTGTTCCCTCCCTCCTTCACCAAATGTAGGTTTGTCGTTCAACCACACCTTTCCTCTCTGTACACTCATTCAGTTGGGTAAAGTTAGCTACTCAGAGAGCCTTCCTTAGCCATCTGCTCTACACATGTGGTACTATGAAATAAAGAAATAAAATATAAGTTCTCTGCTGTTAATCTTATAATCTGGATAGGGATAAAAGATATAATATATACAGAATAATTTTAGGCAGGATATAATTAAGTCCTAAAATAATCAGAGTCAATCAAGTCTTTGCTTCAGTAACTCTACCTGCACAATTATCAAGCATTTTTATGTGGTTTAGAATATAGGGTGCTCTCATTCATCTGGTGAATTTAAAAAATATATACTTATGTAGTTATAGGACTGGACTCACAGTGGATTCTTTCATACTGTAGGTATTACAGATTATCTAGGGTTTTTTATGAAACTTAATTTTTATTACTTTTCTTTCTCTTTAGCCTTCTTCAAAGTTCTGAACAAGAAGTTGCAAACAAAGTCAAAGCTGGACTGAAAAGCCTGATTCCCACATTGGAAAAAAACAAAAACACCAGCAAAGGAATAGAAACTCTGCTGGAAAAACTGACTACATAGATGGAAACAGAACAGATTCATTCAGTTTTCCCATTCTCTGTCTGTTTTCTGGTTCAGAAAAGGACATGGTCCACTTTACTGTAATCTGCAAGCCCCCTTTGTATAAGAATACGTTTATAAAAATTATTTCTAAGATGGTCCTTTTTTTTCTTTTTTTAATCCCAGCTATTTCCTTTATCATTGAGTAGTAAGCAAATCACAATGCAAGGCAATCATTGAAGGCTTATCAATCATATATAGTGGTGGGACCAAAATATTCTATAAAGTGTGGTTAATGAGAAATGACTTGATTTGGGAAGAGGGTGCTTTCGAGAGTAGTAATCTGAAAAGGCTTTCTGGAGGAGGTAGATCTTGAGAGGACATTGTGCCAAAGGAAGGCAGGATATGGAAAAGAAGGGTTAAGGGAAGACTCTGGTAGGAGCAGTAAGATGGAAATTAATGGCTTTGAACTGAACTTCAGAAGGCCTTGGGAACACCCTGCAATGAAGGCAGCTGCATTTCTAGCTGTTCTATGGTTTGATTCCATGTTAAGTTTTGTTTGAAAGCCATTCAAGTAAGTTATGCTCATGTTGAGAAATTGTGCTAGTATGAATAGGAGACAGACACAGGAGATGGTAGTGTTCAAGGTCAGGGTCACTGAAAAAATTTCCTGTCTCTGTATTTTCTGCCCTCCAAGTAAATAGCTCCTTTGATGAGACATTCTCCCTTGGAACGGCCCCCTAAAATAGTCCATAGTGTTTGAGTAAAAAGGGAAAAGATGCAAAATTTGTTACAGTGCAGAAGTTTGAGTACAGAGGTAGGATGTTTGGGTTTTAAAACTAGGTTTGGTTTTTTTAGCTACAAAGGTTAGAAGGGGTGTAGATCAATCAGACTTATGTAGCCATGCTGCATTCAATACAAAGCCTTGAATCCTTTCTTCAAGTATGGGTAACACAACACCAATTTGAGTCCACTGTAGTTATAACTGAGGGAGGAATTGGCTGTTTCTTCCTGTCCAGACTATAAAGGTCCTAGCACTGCTCTCCAACCCTAGAGGTAGCAAGGTTATCTCCTATTCTCCTGCCAGTTGTTTTGAACCCTTTCCAGAGAAGCAAAAGAGCTAATACCATAAACTTTGGTATAGATCTCTCCTCATTGCCACCCAACTGAGTCTCAGGGAATCGGTGGATAGCTAGGGAACTGGGAACAGGGTCAGGAGTGTGAAATTGGGGAAACAGACACAGTAGAGCTTGCCTTTGTTTGACTAATACATTGTGATTTGTCTTCTTCATTTAAAGGGCCCATTCAGAAAGATAATAAGCACATAATTTTGAAAAGTACCTTTGTAAACCTTGTAACAAAAAGCAGCCACTCTGCCCCGGTGCTCTGACCCTGCCTCACCCTCTTTCAGAACAATTTCCAGTTGTTTTAGTTCTGGTTAATTTCTAAAGTGACTTTTTATGATGTATACTTTAATCTTAATCAGTTTTAGGTATTTTCTTCTGATATAATTAAGAACTTTATCACCACTATTCTTCCACTTCTTCACCCTCTCTCTTCCTAGTTAGACCTGGATCATTTGTGATGAATCAAAAGGGTATATATTATTGGGCCTACATAAATTGTTAATATTAAATCAAGTAGTAACTGTCATTTCATTTCTCATTTCCTCTACCAGTTTATTTTCCTAGAATTTGTCATTTGTCTCATTTTCATTTACTTAGTTTTCTACAGATTTTTAATTTTTTTCCCAAACTTTTAACCAGAATTTCTTAAACTTCTTTTTGTAGACTTCACTAGCAACTGTGCAACAGGCATTTTCCTTTTTTTTTTTAAGCCTGTGAGAGGGTATTCTGGTGTCTCCTTTCCATGTACTGCAGATTATTCTGAGTAGGTTATAATTTAGTGTTTTCCCAATCACTATGTCTCAGGTGGGTCCATAAATGTGAGACTACTTATCAGCCTACCACCTGTTTTCCCTTGGTGAATTGTGCAGAAGAAAAACAGTATGAACTACTCCTGGGGATCTATTCCTGAAGTTCTCAGTGAATAGGAAGGAGCCTATCCATGAACCTTGGAAAGATAGGTTGTAATTCCTGCGGGCAAGTTTCTGGAGACCCCAACTATACTGGAGAAGTTCCTTTATTGCCACCAACTTTGTTGGAGCTAGGAGCTACCTGAGAGTTATTAACTCATCTCACCAGCCAAGAAGCAGAGAGAAAA